GCAACCTTGGCTCTTTTATGACTCGTGGACTTCAACTCCCAGAATTCCTGAGCCAGCCATGCTGGCTCAGGAATTCTGGGAGTTGAAGTCCACGAGTCATAAAAGAGCCAAGGTTGCCTACCCCTGATCTATTCTAAGCATTTCCCATCCCTGCCTGATCTGGATCATAACCAAAGACGGCCCCCCACCCACCCACCCATGTTGCAATGGGACTCGCTCGCCCAGTCGTCTCCTCCTCCGGCAAAGCCAGCACCGCTTTCAATTCCTGGGGGGAAAACCTGACCTCCCCAGCTGCAGCCAGCGGCAGACACTTACCCGAACCGCAAACCACGAAGATGAACAACGCCAGCAGCCACGGCCCCACCGATGCCTTCTCCTCGGGGGCGTTCCTCTGCAGGGAGAGACACCGAGGCTTAGAGGGACGGAAACCTCGCAGCCGCCTTGGGCACAAACCCGCGCCCCCCCCCCGCCCCGCCAGAAAACCCCTCCCGGGGATTACCCAGCCGGGGAGGGTCGCCGAAGCAAAGGGACGTGGAACCGGGGGGGGGGCAAGCCTCGCGGGGTGGCTCGGCTGCCTTCAAGACCGGCTCCTCTCTCTCTCCCTGGGAGAAGGGACGGGGGGGTACCGGCTCGCCGAGAGCCGCGGGCTGCTGCGGGAAAGGGAGCGAGCAGACGCGCCCCGAGACGCCGGAGAAAGACAGGGCTGCGACGGGCCCCTACCGAGGTCTTGGCCACGTTGCCGCGCTGCGTGATGTTTTTGCTGTGCTTCTCGTTGGCCATCCGGATCCGCTGTTTTGCCACCATCTTGACTGCTGTTGCCGTCCCCGCCGCCGCCGCCGCCGCCGCCTCCGTTCTGTACTCGCCGAGCGACGCCGCTCTCGGGCTGTGGGAGCTCCGCGCCGGGGATCACGGGAGGACCGTCCACCTCGCCTCTCTCGGGCTCTTCCCAGCCAAGCCGCCGCGTAAGCAGCAACTGCCCTTCACGCAGATCCCACCCTCCGGAAGCGCGTTGCCCAGCGGCGGCGAAGCGGGCGGGAGGGCCGTCCCCCCCGGAAGCGAGACTGTCCTCGAGCCTCCGCTGCTCACGCTTTCGCCTGAAAAAGCGTAGTTGACGGAACTCCCGCCCTCTATTGTCATTGTCCAATGGGCGCTGAGCTCGCTTGAGCCTGTGGCGAAGCTTTCTCGGGGCCATGTGATCCATGGCCCTCTCCTATCCTCCCCTTCAGCTTGCTACACGTCACCCGGAAAAAAACTCCGCTCTTGAGCTGGCGATAGAGGGCAGAGCAGACGTGTACAGTTTTCGGCTGTGACCCGTTGTGCGCCGCCCGGAAGGACAAGTGCCGCATCCGGATAAAGATGGCGCCTCCCACGCCGCTCTTGGCAGGTGGGTTCAGAATAAATCAACCAGACCCGTTCTCTGCCAAGATGGTTCTCACTGTAAGGCTTGTTGTGAAGTCTGGTAGAGGCCTGAGACTGTCACACACTTGTGGCATTTTTAGCGGAATTTTGTATAACCCTTCACTTTTTTCTGGGGGGGGGGGAAGTTGTACCTCTCCAGTGAGCTGTTTTCTGTGCAGAGCACTTTTGGTATTACGTGCATGGCTAACGTAGGCTTCTAAAGGGAAAGAGTCGTTGGGGAAGAGCATTCGGTTGCCTGTTTATACAAGGGCTTAGCTGCAGACAGAAGTATCTCTCGAGGGAACTGTATCTGAAATTTCGGACATCCTTGCATTCCATCAGTCATTTTGTCAAAGAGTCTGGATTCAACCATGACAGGAAAAAGTTACTTTTTGAAGAACGATAGTTTTAAGTTTGCAAATATTACTAAATGCATTGTATGTACCCAAAGTATTCATTTATGCTCACTCAGCACATTTATGTTCATTCAGACAGTAAAGAGTCTAGATCAGTGGTGGCGTACCTATGGCACATGTGCCAGAGGCGGCACTCAGAGCCCTCTCTGTTGGCACGCGCTCCACCGCCGCCAGCAGCAGGTCCATCAGGCCACCACCGCCCAGCACAAAGGAAGCGAAGCGGCCGACTAGCAAGCTCGAGTAGCGGTGGTAGAGCAGAGGTCACCAACCATTGTTGATTGGTGGACTGGAAGAAAAGGGAGGGGGAAGCATTTTACATGCGTGCATGCACACATGGGGCCGTGAGCATTGACACACTGCAAATGGGGTGGGGCTAGTGCCTGCGTGATACTAGCCCTCCCCCGTTCTTATGTGATGCAGCACCTTGTATCTGGTGGCGGCCATTTTTGCGTCTTGCACAATGGTGGCCCATTTTTGTGCCCCCGGTTTTTGCGTGCCAGAGGCAGCACTCAGAGGAGCCTCCCTGCCCTGAGGGCACCACAATGCTGATGCGGCCCTAGTGCTTTGCAATAAATAAGTGGGTTTTGAGTTGCGGTTTGGGCACTCGGTCTCTAAAAGGTTTGCCATCACTGGTCTAGATGTCTCCCGACTCGTCCAAGACTAGAGAGAAGTCAGGTTTGGAACATGCTAATACCCAAGACGCTTTCCCCATCTTTTCCATTTTAACTTCCTTTCTCTATTATCACCTACATAATTTCCTTCCTCCATTTTTTTGAATGGAAACTCTCCAGAATGACATTGTTTGTTCATGAATCCCTAAAGGCTCTTTTTCGGTTTGGCAGATATCCTTATTACAGAGGCTCCATTGTGCAACCCCTGTCTGGCTCTACTGGTATTTGCCAGATGATCAGATACTGCTGAACTCTCTTGCACTATACTTAACTAATGGCGAAATGCTTGATGTTTGCTGTGGTACTAAACTCCTGGTTAGGACTATGCTGGGTCAGATATTGCACTAACCCTTTCATCTAGCATATTTATGCATGCCAATAAAGGAGTCTGTAGCTCAGGGTTGAAATGAGGGATCCTTATGGCTTTCTGAGCTTGGTTGTTTTCTTGCAGACATTTCATTATCCAAACTAGATAATGCTAGTCTGATGATGTTACGTACCATGTTTCCCCGAAAATAAGACTCAACCGGAAAATAAGCCGTAGCATGATATTTCAGGATGCTTGTAATATAAGCCCCACCCCAAAATAAGCCCTAGTTAAGATCGTCAGCCAGACGGATGTATTTAGTACTGTATTTTCCCGAAAATAAGACCTAACCGGAAAATAAGCCCTAAGCGTCTTTTGGAGCAAAAATTAATATAAGACCTGGTCTTATTTTTGGGAAAACATGGGTAGTTTGGGTAATGAAATGTTTGCTTTTTGTCTCATGTTATACTCCAATTTAGAAAATGTCCTAGATGAAAAACAGTTAAGCACTACAGAAGTCGTAGAGCTCAAAGTTAAAGAGGGAGTGGAGTCATGCATGCAACCATGCTTTTCTCTGGCATAAATCCTGAAGCAGGGCTATTTGTATGTAATTCTGAACGCAAGTAAAGTAGGATAATGTAATTACATTCATGTGAAGATGCGTGTGAATCCAACCTAAACTGGTTTTACATTTATTGTACTTTTCGTTTTCAGTATTGTTTGATATTTTATATTAGTTTGCATCACAAGTACATAGCATCATAAGTAATCTTTTAAAATATTTCTGCAGAGCTAATGCCAGAGGCATGCTCCTAGACTTAATTTTAAATGACTACCTTCTATTTTGCTGGAGTTAATATGTCAATGAAATAACTAACAGTGGGACATTAGAGAGTAAATGCCACTTCATGAGATGTGTAATATTAATGTGTTTGTACAGATTTCAATATTTGCTTAAGGTAATTTTGTTCCAAGTCACTGGTCTTCCCTGGGACTTACGCCAGTATGAAAGCACTTAAAAATAAAAGTGCTAAGAGCAAATAGTGAGTGTGTAGTACATTAAGTTTCTCCTTCACTTTATATCATGCTAAAGTGTACTACCACAAAGGAAACACTGGTCTGTTGTTGGATTATTTTGGATTATTCTACGTTAGGGACAACGATATATTGATTGATTGATGGGTGCCTTGTGGGTGCTTATAAGCAGCAAATGTAAACATACTCCTCTATACCTGGTATTTGGAGGCATGCCGACTTCCCAACTTGGGGTTAATGGCAGTCGTGGCTTGGAGAGTCTTTGCACAACTTCAGGTTATGTAACCTTTCTGTATTGTGAGGCTTTGTGCTCAGTTCCTCATGCCTTCATTATCTCCTGGTCATCATCTTTAAAGCTCTCTGTGGCATAGATCTGAGATATTTCAGGAGCCACCTTGCCACAATGGGATTTGCCTGCTGCACTCATCCTGGTAGAAGAGGCCTATTGCAAATCCCATAAGCCAAGGAATTGCTGCCAGTGAGGTCCAGGAAAAGAAAGAGCCTTTTTTGCCACAGCCTCCACTCTCTGGAACATATTGCTGCAGGAAGTGAGGTCTGCCCCTGCCTGTCTGGCCTTCAGGAAATGCTTTAAAATCTGGCTCTGCCAGTTGTCATGGGGCCATAAAAGAGCAACTGTTGGATGGGGGTGGCTAATGTAGTACCTCTCTGCTCCAAACCCATGGTTTTTGTAACTTTAATCTTTTTTATACTTATGATTGTTTTTACATCCATTTGCTTTATCATGTTGTAAGTGGTTCACAGTTGTCTCAAGCTGCGAGATGAGCATAATATATATTTGATAAATAAATATGAAGCTTCAGGTTTGCTTGTTCACTGATTGGATGGTTATTACATAACATATATATTCATATTTTATTATTAAGCCAAAATATGCTCATTTAATTTAGAATTTTCTCTATTGTATGAAACTAAGGATTAATGTATTTGAAGCAAAATAAACATATGACTTATTATTCCATTATTTTGCTAGTACGAGGATCTGAAGGACTCTATATGTTGCATGGGTCACCTCATTTTACAGAGCATACAACATTTCAAAGGTATTTTCATTTTTGGCTTTATTAAATGTATACATTTTAGGATGCCCATAACAATAACAAATTATCAGATGCATATGTGGAGATTGGGAATGCCCTGATGTACTGTTCAGTAGAGCTTAAATTTTATAAATGTGAATATACATTTCTAGTTGCTGCTTCAAATACTACTCAGGTTTTTGTAATAATCAGAATGTCTTGGACTTTTAATTTACAGCTTTGGGGGGCAGGACATTTTTGGTTATTAAATGGAAAATGAAACAATTCCACATATCGAAAAAAGTATCTAAGTTAAATTGTTAGCATCTTTCTTTGTTCACATATCTGAGCACAGAAATGAAACAAGCATACTATTGGCATACCATTGTATTACTGGAAAGCATACTTAAATCTGCATTTGGTTCTATTTTGGGTGGGAGATATATCTCATCTGGCTTATTTCACCTCTGTTTTTGTCTGATCATAATGTTTATTTCTTTTATATCTTATCCCTCCAGAATTAATAAGGGGGCCTATTCACTCATATTAATAACATAGGACATTTTCCACCTGATTGGAATCAGGCCATTGTAGTACTGATATACAAAAATAAAGGAAGTAGACTTGACCCTGTAAACTATAGGCCTATTAGTTTATTAAATACAATAAATAAACTCTATGCCAGATTTTTATATGAAAAGTTAGTGGATTGGGTACAAAATGAAAATATTATTGCTGAAGAACAGGCCGGATTTAGAGAGGAACGTTCAACACTGGATCATTGTCTAATTCTGCACCATTTGGCTGAAAAATATTCTACCCCCTCTCGTGGTTCTCTTTATGCAACTTTTGTTGATTTTAAGTCAGCTTTTGATCTAATACCAAGGGACAGATTGTGGTATAATCTAAGACGTTCCACGATTGATAAAAGGCTGTTAGTTCTCATTCAGTCGCTCTATTCAAATACCTCTCTAAAAATCAGCTGCTCCCCCTGGGGACATTTATCTAAAGCAGTTCCAACTTATAGAGGTGTAAGGAAAGGTTGCATATTAGTTCCACTACTTTTTAATTTGTACCTAAATCCAATAATGCAAGTGCTTGCTGATCCACCCCATCATCCACCTATCTTGGCTGATTGTGCAATTCCAGCACTATTGTATGCTGATGATATAGTTATTTTGTCCTCTTCTCAGGTGGGAATGTAAAAAGCACTTAGGGGACTAGCTTTATTTTGCATAGAATACAAACTATTAATAAATTATGAAAAAACTAAAGTTTTAGTATTTGCCTCTTACCATCATAAGATCCATAAATGGCAAATTGATGGGACTCCAATTGAACAGGTGTGTACCTATAAATATCTTGGAGTGCAGTTCCATGCCTCCCTATCCTGGCATACTCACTTTCTTTATCGGGCAAGTGTTGCACAGCGCACCTCATCAGCTATCATAAAATTTTATCATTCTAAAGGACTTTACTACATCCCGGCAGCTTGTAAGGTTTTCCAAGCTAAGGCAGTCCCTCAGCTCCTCTATGGCTCGCAAATATGTTCACTTGCAAAGCTTAATGCTATTGAAATTATTCAAAATAAGTTTATTAGAGCCATACTGATGGTACCAAAAAGTATTAAAAATGCCATCCTACAGGTGGAAATAGGTTTAGTTTCATTGGAAGCTAGAGCATGGTTCCTTCTACTTACCTTTTAAAGTTAATTTTGATGCCTGTAGGGTTAGCCCCGTTAGTATTTATAGACCATTTTAAATCGTGGGGGGGGAAAAGCACTAGATAAAATTAAATCGCTGGGCTTCTCTATGGAAACTCTGTGTTCATTAGGATTTGATAATGCTAGAACTGCCTTGAAACAACGTATCTGGGATATTGATTTTCAAACAAACTTAAGTAAAGTGGCACATTCCAATATTTGTCACTTGCTTCCAGAAGGATTCTTCCCAGCTTCTTATCTATTTTCCATTACAATTTTGAAATTTCGTAAAGCTTTCACCTTAGCCAGGCTGGATACGTTGCCGTTGGCAGTCCTTTTTGGACGGTTTAAGGGTTGTGTCCATGTGGTGATGGCTCTATAGAAACCCTAAGCCATATGCTGCTTCATTGTTCTTTATATAAAGACTGTAGACAGATTCTTATATATCCGATATTGAAGAAGTTTCCAGGTAGTGGATATGAATTTTATCTAAAGTTGCTACTTTCGGATAAGGATCCGAAAATATCAATTCAGGTTGCCCAATTTTGTGCCACCATTTGCACAATACGTCGCACCATTATCAAGGTCTAAAAAAATTTAATATGATGTTTTATTTTGAGAATTTTGGATTATATTACATTGATTGTTTGATGGTTTTATATTCTATAAATATGGAAGTAAAATTGTCACTGCTGTTATATTTTGATTATGTCTGGCCTTATGGCTGTAATAAACAGATTGATTGATTGATTTCTTTTATATCAAAATAATAACAAAATTATTGTTGGAAGCATTTTTTAAAATGGATACTTTATATTTCATCTAAATAATTTTGTTTTTTCTTTATTTGAATTCTAATTTATTTTTGCTTTTGCTTTCAGGGATTCTGGGAAAAATGCAAAAGTGTTTACTTTCAGCAGAGATGGATCATTTTTTGCATTGGGCAATGGAGAAAAGTTAGTTTTTTTCTATGTTTGGGGTGTTTATATATGTAATAATATATATTAAAACATTGCTTTAAATAAGCTCATTAGTTTTAGCCAGATACTCCCTCCAGTAGGAAAGTATTTTGCATACTTCACTATTATAAAGCAAGTTATTGTGACTTTTGCAATCTGTAAAATATATTCTGTTTCATTTCGCTTCTAAGGAATTTGTCTTGGATGAGAATCATGATCGAATTTTTTTCAAAACAGCATAGCACATGTGAGGTTACATTTTTCTGTGAGATTTGTAACCTTTTATGACATATATATAAGATTGATTTTAAAACCAGGCAAAGATCATAAATTCTGTGCTAGCGATGGGCCTATTTCATTAATTATGTGAATTCTAAGATTTTATTTTATAAAAAAATGATATTTATATTTATTAATTGATATATTAGAAATGGGAAAAGATATAATGGACTCTGCTATACTGGTATATTTATTTATTTATTAAATTTGTACACTGCCTATCGCACTATCAATTGATTCTGGGTGGCCTACAAGATAAAACAATTCCAAATATTGAAATGATAAATATGGTAAATATTAACATTAACAAAAATTAGCAAAGGAAGGAACTAACATAAAATAGGGCGGAAGTGGAGCCTTCTTTTAATCCACTAACCACCTCCAGTCATGGAACGTCCCCAACAGGGCTCCATGCCAATAAGCAGAGTCATGTGTTAAGGGACCGGTTGTAAGTTGAGGACTGTCTATACTTTGGTGGAATGTGAGTACCAATTATTTTTATATGATTATGGTATTTTGGATAAGTAGTGTACTTCTCTATTTAATTTTATATAGGTAGTACAGTGTTCTTTCCCCAATTAGGTCACCTGCCCCATTAGGTCTGGCAGCCGAGTATGCTCTGGGTTCTATCTATCAGGAAATGTGAATGGCAGGGCCCAGGAAGAGACACTTTTCTATTATGGCACCTGCCCTTTGGAACATCCTCTTCTCAAACATTTTAGATTGCCGCAACCCTGCTGGCCTTTTGCAAGTCTTTGTTTTATCATTGGGCTTGGGGATCCAGATTTGTGGCAAAATCTGCAGTGGCTATGTTGATTTGTGTTGTTTTCATCTCATTTGCTGATTACATTTTTTTTACACATTTTTATAGTATTTTTAACTGTTATTAGCTCAGAGTCATGAATTTCAGATGGGTAACCATATACATTAAATGAATAAACTAATGAATACGGAAATAAATTTTCATAAAGTACTCTAGTGGTAAGATTAACTGAGATACATTTTGCAAACTTCTCTTATGTTTTAATATATCACACAATGATGTAATGAGTGTAAAGAGTTGGGTTTTGTGGTTTCCACTCATTATATTAAATGCTTGGGACTCTCTCCCATAGTATTTGCCTGGCTAGTTCTAATTAGCACGGTTGTGCACTCTGGGTTTCATTGGTTAAACAATGTCATGTCTCTGAACCCCGAAAGCACACGTTCTCTGCAACAGGACCTGTCTTCTGGAATGAAGTTCGAAATTCAAATGACTCCCACCTTATTAGTATTTCAAAGAACCCTAAAGACCTGGCTATTTGCTGAGTCCTTTGACAAAGATAATTGATTCCCTTTCTTCCTTTTTGTTCCCCTCCTAGTTATCATCATATGCTGTTTTTTAAGTGGGTTTTGCATTTTTTAAAATGTTTTTAATAATTGTAGGTCACCAAGAATTGCTGGGAGTTGGGTGGAATATAAATTTCATAAATTATAGTTGGTCAACCAGATGTTTAGTTTGAATTTGGCATTTTTATCTATCAAGCCCTTCTCAAGAACTTGGGATAGGCAGATGTTGTTTGAGGTGTTAATGGTATTGTATTGTCACAGAAGGTAAGCTGTTCTAAGTAAAACTGTCTTTTGCAGTTGATTGATAGTATTCAAGTGGTGCTCCAGATTTTTAGAATTGTACCCAAGGTTCCTATTACTATAGATACTGTTTTCTTTGGCCATGTGGAAAAGGGGAAATGTGGTGTATCAGAGCGGAAATGATGTCTACATACCTTGACCCTCAAGGACATTTTAGTGAAATGCATGTGTACAAGTTTTGGAAAGTTTGGAGTTCTGTATTTTAATTCTAATTATGTTTTGATGCTTTCTGAATTACTGCGTAGATGAAATACCAAGCAACATAGTAAGTGGAAGAATGAATCTGTTTTCTGTGATTGGGAATTGAGCTGATTTAGAAGGAACAGCTAAATAGCTATTANAGTTTGCCTTGAATTCTCTCCAAAGAGCAATGTCCTGGTGACATGGCAGCTTTATACAAGTAAGTATTCTTGTGTATTCTCCAGCTACTGCAAACATGGCAGCAACCATGCTAATTTTGAATAATATAATGCTTGAGTAGATTATTTTTTTTGTTCTGAACTGGAACAATAAAAATATGGAATCTCTGAGGAAAAGAGAGTCATTCCAAAGCAGCAAAGACATGTGTATGAGCTTATGTTTTCTTTTTCTGACCTCTCATTGTACTGCCCCGAAATGTTTGATTTGGTGTGCAAGTTCCTCTGGACAGAGATTTGTTATTTTCCCCCCGCACATTCTGAAATGATAGTGTTGTAGAAAATTAATGTAATAATGATGTTAAAAATAATGAATCCTATTCTTGCAAATCATAGTCACCATGGCAAATTCAAGATCTCTGAATGATTCCATATTTGAATAGCTTATGGTTAGTTTTTGTGCCTAACATTGATTTCCTGTAACTTAAATACATTATTTCATATTGTGAACTCTGGGACAGTAGAGAAGATGTACTGATTTTCTTCTGTGCAATATTCTTCAGGTATTAAATTTCTGCACAACCCACAGTCACCATGTAGGGAAGATGGGCAACATAGAAATTTAATAAATAAAAATATTTGAAGATGTACTGTACATTTCCATGTATCTATACACTTCTACACTTAACAAACAATCCAGGCCCCCAGGGCCTAACCATATGTGATATTATTTCCTTTTTCTAAAGGTGGGATAGGAAGAAAGTGATTAACTTTTTTTATGCTGCACTGTTTTACAAAATGGCTTTGCTATTAATTGCAAAGACAGAAAAAGGAAATTGTTTTGTGATTTATAATGCCACCTATTCTCACCATTACCTCCACTACCTTTGGCAGTTAAGATAATATTGCAGAAAAAGTTTAAGTTCAAGCATACATCATTCTTCAAATACGTAAATAATACCTTTCTGTCTGCAAAGGGGTTGACAACTGAGGATTGTCTTATCCAGTAGGATAGTGAATTTCATCTTACAGTGGCAAGAATGGATAATTTTGGTTTGAGAGGAAAAAAGCTGTCACTTTTTTGATGCCAAAAATATTACTTTGTACTTGACAAAATGGGACCAGTGGGGGAAAAATGCTACTTTTCTATGAAAGGTTTGCAACAAAATGTCACCTGGACCAATGGTATATTGCAGAGGAACAGAGATGATTTTGGAGATGTTGGTATAAAGTATGCATTTGGTATGTTGTAGCTGCAAAAGATGGTGCAGGGGAACCCAACCTTCAACTTTTCAGTGTGAAAAATGGAAAATGCTTGAAGTCATTCATCCAGAAAAAGTCACAGAACTGGTAAGTATTTCAATGAGTTTCATTATTTAGAACATGGTATTTGAAAACACTAAAATATCTAATTAATAAGTTTTTCAACTCTGCAAAAGTTGCTTAGATCTCTGTCTTTCTATCTCTCAACACAGTAATTCTACAAAGCTGAACACAAGACCAAATTTGGTCTGCAAGAGAAGCCAGCAAAAGAAAAATTGAGTTGGAAATGGTCTGTGGGTTGGGGGGACAAAAATTCCAAATATATTGTCCCAAGGCTTGCTTATGGGCAGCTACTCAAAAAATTTCTATCAGTTTCGTTCTAAATACCTATCCCTCCTAGTCACATGACCCAGAGGAAATTGTGTACATCCTGCCCTGTGCTTCCAAGTGCATGTGTCTAAGCAAATACAGCAATACACATGTAAATGACATAACATATCACTTCATTGTACAGAAATAGATAAAGATTGATCCTATGGTCATTGGTAAAAGGATAAAAAAGGGTTCCATAAGCTGTGTTCTCCATGCACGTCCTCTCTTTTTTTAAGCATTGATTTTTTTTAATTTTAATGTAACTTGTTTTCAGATAACATATTCATGGGGACATTTGAAAATATAATAAGTAATGATTAGATTTAGAATTTGCCTTACACATTTACAACTTAAAATATATCTTTCAATGGTATTTTTTTAAAATCTGCATTTTAAAAATATTGTTAGAAATACTTTTTATGAAGGCCACAACTACCAGGTGTTGGTTTTAATATTTATTCCACTCCACCCACTATCTAATCATTAGGTGTCCTTGCTGGTCAGATGATGAAAGCCTGTGTGCCAGGAGTGTTAACAATGAACTTCATTTCTTTGAAAACAACGACTTCAGTATGCAAGTTCTTTCTTGTTCTTTAGATAAACATTCCATGTTTAATCTTTTCATGATTTTCTTATGTTTTCAGCTGCTTGCTTTACTGCAGTTCCCACCTTTAGTCTTTAATACAGTTCTGAAATTCCATTAAGTATAGGTAGTCCTCGACTTACGAGCACAATTGAGCCCAATATTTCTGTTTCTAATTGAGACAGTTAACTGAGTTTTGCCCATTTTATTATCTTTCTTGCCATAGTTGTTAAGTGAATTACTGCAGTCGATAAGTTAGTAACATGATTGTTAAGTGGCTTCCACATTGACTTTGCTTGCAAAAGGTGATCACTTGACCTCGGGACACTGTAATCGTCATAAATATCAGTTACTTGCCAAACATCTGAATTTTGATCGTGTGACCACAAGGATGCTTTAACACAGAGGTCCCCAACCCCCGGTCCGTGGACTGGCACCGATCCGCAGCATACCAGCAAGCAGGCCGCACAAACAAGCAAAGCTCCATCCTTAGGATGCAAGCAGTGTTCAAAACCACACCCCCTCTGGTCCGCGGAAAAACCTTTCTCCATGGCACCAGTCTCTGGTGCCCAAAAGGTTGGGGACCTCTGCTTTAAAAGTCATAAGTGTGAAAAACGATCATTAGTCACTTTTTTCAATACCATTGTAACTTCGGTCACTAAATGAACTATTGTAAGTCAAGGACTATCTGTAATATGAAATTTTACTTTTATCAATTTACCTCTAGCATTTTTGCTATATGGCGGTATTTTATCTAAAATGCAGCCATTTTAAGCTTTAAAAGATTTTATATTAAAAGATTTACATTAAATGCAGTCTGTTTGAGATAAAATTTATAGTCATTTATTTTCTCATACTTGTAAAGATATATAATTCATGTAAAATATTTTAAAGTAGCAAATATGCCCTGTATACAACATATTTTATAACTGTTTATTTACTTATTACTTGCTGAAACCTATAGGCAGGGCTACCTAACAATTCACAAAAGTTTTTGTTTGAATTTTGTTAACTTGAGGATGGTGATCTTTGCAGGTACAATTGCAAATAAACTTCATCTGCAAAAAATCAATGATTTTGTGTTGTCACCAGGAGATCAGCCAACCAAGGTGCTTTCTTTTGAATTCTTTCCCTGGTACAATTTTAATTTCATCCAGATTTTAGAACATACCTACTTTTAATATTTATTTTAACAGATATTTCACATCTTATCAATACAGGTGGCTGTTTATGTTCCTGGAAGCAAAGGAGCCCCATCTTTTGTAAGGCTTTACCAATATCCTAACTTTGAAGGCTCACAATCTGCATTGGCAAACAAAAGCTTCTTTAAAGCTGATAAGGTGAAAATGCTGTGGAATAGCAAAGGTATTTTTTTTTAGAAAAAGCTTTGTCTTTATTTGAGAAAATTTCAGTCTACTTTTTTTTTCTTGAACATGTAGTCAGTATATAGGCTTGAATAATCAAAATGCCAAAATGACGTTTATACTTGGTATTATGCTTTGTCAGTCACATTCTGTATAACTCTAACATACAGTGATTCTCTGTACACTTATTCTTCAGAATACACTGAGAAAAATATTTCTGAATGTTCCCATGGTACAGACTCTGTTTTATGAATAAGAATTTGGAGGAGAAACCAAAGCACCTTTTCCTAACTTGGGGCCTTTGGGGTTATATTTAAGTAACTATGTTCATAATTTCCAGCCATTGCATTCCCTGGAAATTGTAGTCCAACAGTCAGAGGGCATCAGCTACAAATTATGATTTAGAAGAAACACAGAAAAATTCTGGGGTTAAAATGGTCTCCTTTACCCGAAGCTAGTTTTTTAAAATCATATTGCTCTTCAGGCTTCAAGACTACATATAGCCACATTTATTATTTGTTTTTGTTTTTTTAAATAGATTACTGTGTAGCTTCTTTTTAAAAATATCCTTTTCCCCTTCATCTGAATAGCCACTGCAATGCTTGTAATAGCTAGTACAGAAGTTGATAAAACAGGAGCATCTTACTATGGAGAACAAACTCTACATTACATAGCAACCAATGGAGAAACGGCTGTCGTACAACTACGTAAGTGGCTCTAGTAATAATTATATTATGTGTTTTAAAGCATTTAAACACATGGGAAAGAGAATTCCATGAGAATTTGAAGATCATCTTTAAAGAGCCATATTTAATTCTTATGACCAACCAGTACTTACTGACTTAAATGGAGTGAAGTATGTAAGATTTAAATTGAAAGTTTCCATTATATAAAAAAGATGTTTATGGGACAGAGAGCCCAACTCTATATGAGAAGTGTCTTTCTAGTTATTACACTAAAAAGAGAAACTGGGGCTGCCAACCAGTTTTAAGGACTTCTCTTTAAAGACTTTGCTTAATTACTTTTATTCTATATGATTACATTTAATGAAACTGTATAGATTTTAGACTTTGAATTGTAGTGTTCATCATAATTATATAATAACCAAATTTAAAAGAAAATAACCACATGGAGGGGGGGCGTTCCAGTTACTTACTGAAAAATTGCAAAGTTGTAGGTAATCTGAGTTCTGCAACTGTTCCGTATTATGAAACCTATTGAGACTTTTTTTCACTCTATAATAAAAGCAGAGGATGAATGTAACTGTATTAAAATGATTATAGTAACCCTTGTTCAGTAATCTTTTATGACTGACAGGTGGACAAGGAACTTAGGCAATATTTTAGCTGATGAATTGGCAGATGTTTCTCCAGTCACTGGCCAGGTTCTCAGTTATTGATTCTGAACAGAAAACAGGAGAGCTGTAGCTAACCTTAGTTGCAAAGAAACATTTATAGTCTCATGCAGGCCAGCACAATTTTAAATATAATTTTAACTAAATATATTGTGGTCTCTAGATTCTCAACAATTTACAGACACAAGTGCGCATAATTTAATTTTGAGTTTATTTAAAGTCACAGATCAGGGGCTTAGCACTTCTTAAAACAGTTCAAGTTGGCAAAAAATCATTTTCAGTTTGCTAAATGAGAAAACTAGCCTGGCTTGCTGCATTTAATTTTTTGTTCCCATGTATCCTGCCTCTCTTCTTTCCTATTTGGCTTTTAATTAACATTTATTACCAAAATGTAGTAGCACTTATGATTTCATTGAACAATTGTAAACTGTAATTTGTGTTAAGTTTAGGTTTTTATTTTACTTGTCTCTCAACAACTTAGATGTTGTTTTACAATTTCAGCTGTTTTTTTTTCTATGCAGCAAAAAACGGTCCAATTTATGATGCAGCTTGGAATCCCAATGCCACAGAGTTCTGCGTTGTGTATGGTTTCATGCCTGCTAAATCTACTATCTTCAATCTAAAATGTGATCCTGTATTTGATTTTGGGACTGGTCCCCACAATGCTGTCTACTACAGTCCTCAAGGACAAATCTTAGTATTAGCTGGATTTGGGAATCTTAGTGGACAACTCGATGTATGGGATGTTAAAAACTACAAACTTATTTCCAAACCGCAGGCCTCTGATTCTACATATTTGGCTTGGTGCCCTGATGGAGAGCATATAGTAACAGCTACATGTTCTCCAAGGCTACGAGTTGGGAATGGATTCAAGATCTGGCATTATACTGGCTCTGTGTTATACAGATACGAAGTTCAGCCAAATGCAGAACTTTGGCAAGTTATTTGGCAACCCTTTTTGGATGGAGTATTTCCAGCAAAGCCAGTAACATACCATGCTGTTCCAAGCAAAGTGTTAAATGAGGAACCAAAGACTGCCACAGCCTATAGACCTCCAGCTCTCAGAAATAAACCTGTAACTAGTTCTAAACTGGTAAGTAACCATTATCTTCAAGGAAGAGTGTAGAAAGATACCTGCTATGTCTTCTATGCCTCTGCACCAGTTAATTATAACTGGTTATTTATGCATCAATTATTTTTGTATTGATTTCCTTCCTCATAGCATGAGGATGAGCCACCCCAGAACATGAGAACACAGTCAAAAAGTGGTGATAAGCCATTATCTAAAACAGCTCTTAAAAATCAAAAGAAGCATGAAGCTAAGAAGGTGGCTAAACAGGTATAGCTATTTTTATTTTTTTTTCTTAAGCATGATTCATCGCATTTTGAACAGATGGTATTTGGTAAACCATTGTTTAGTAGGATTCTGCATAGAATTTTGTATTAAGCTCAAAGTGATCAGTCTTTCACTATCACATAAGCCAAAGTTAGAAATTCTGGAGAACTCAAAACATCTCAATAATTAATAAAATCACTGCCTAGAATGGTTTCATTTAAAAGTGGTCTTAACTAATGATACATTTCATTAAAGGAGGCGAGAGCTAAAGGGAACCAGGAAATCACTCCAGCTCCTCCAGTACAAAATGAATTGAACAATACAATATCCTCTGAAATATCGGGAGATCCTGAGTTGGAGAAAAAAATAAAAAATCTTAAAAAGGTAAGAAGTTTTTTCAAACAAAGGCTATTGATAGATCCTTTCCCCATTTCATTTTGTTGAACAGTAGTATTAGTGATCTTTGTTTTACTTTTTCTTACTATTGTAACAGCTGGAGCTATAAGTCCAAGGTACATAATATGAGGCCCTAGGACCACATGTGGCCCCTGAAAATGTCTGTACGGCATCCAAAGACTTCCAAGTATTCAGCATCAAAAAGATGGCCAGTAAAATTGTCATTATGGCTGCCATCTTGAATTTTTTGAACCCCCTTCATCCCTGTAGATGCCCTGCAATTATTTGTACATTTTTCAGTTAAATGTTATATGTGAGTCTTATGTGTGTTTGTGCAACCAAAGGAGAGAGGTAAGAAGTTTGGATTTTATTTTCTAGGGACTTAAGAATCTGCTTTATATTAAACCAATTGAAATATTTTTTTTTAGTGTAGTGTATTTTGGAAAGGAATATAAAGACATTGGTAACCTGGAGGATTCTCTTTTGGCTCAGTAAAAAAAATCATAAAGTCCTCCACATATGTGCATGCACCACAGAAAACAAATTAAATTTGTTGTTTCTGCCCTCCTTTTAACCATGCTTTCTGAACTACAGAAACTCAAGGCTATTGAACAGCTGAAAGAGCAGGCTGCTACAGGTAAACAGCTAGAGAAAAATCAGGTATGCTTCTCATATTCTTAAGTTAACAGAGTTGTCTATAATTTGTACATCACCTGAATTCTTAAATCTGATACATTTGTAAATAATTGTTGATTATACTTTATACTATTTTTTCATTATGTATACTAAGTAAGATTGTCTTATGTCTATATTATAGATGGAGAAAATTCAGAAAGAGGCTACACTTCTAAAGGAATTGGAAGACTTGGAACTGGGTGTTTGAGCTACAGAAAATTAAAATCACAATTTTCTTTCATGAAAATAAATGAATGAATGAATGAATGCTCACTTTTATTACTTCCCATATAGATTAACTTTTTTCTGCCTACTATCTGAAAAAAAAATGTAAAATGTAAAATAATTATAATTCAGAAGTAAATCAGTTGCCTTGATTCCAAAATAGTATTGCTGAGATCCAAAATAAAGTATGTTGGAGCACCTATATTTTTGGCAAATGCTAAGTTTAAGATGTAACCCTAATGTATATTGTTTTTAAACACAGACTTTAACCTTTGGCATATATATATGGAGAAGTTTGTAATTCGAGCAGTGAACCATGTGATTTACATACTGGGGTTTGGTTGTTATTTTGCAATAGCTATTTCATCATTTCCTTATCGTTGTGGTTTATATTAAATATTACATACATACACATTTTGGTTTTGTAGGTCTCTGAGTTCTTAAAAACAGGTTTAAAACCTATACATATTTGATGAAATCAGTTTCCTAAAATGTAAGCCTTTTTCCACAACAAATAAGAAAAAGGGATTGGGCATTCAGGAACAAAATGTTTCATTAACAGATTACCATCACTTATATTATAAAGCCAGAAGAAATAAGAGTTCATCCATCTATCTGTTTTAAAGCAGTAGAGTACCTGGTCTCAAACTGAGAAACTGATTCACAAGGAGGATCTTCCAGCAGGATCCCTTCAGCTTCTATTCAATTCATTTTAAACCCGCCTTTTGCTAATTGTTCAGTCATCGGGTGACCTGTAAAGTGAAATTCCACACTTTATCAATCAAATAAAAATATTTATCTCTATTTATATGCATACAAGAATAAATTTATTACTAGCTTTAATAAGTAAATAATAGCTATACAAACAGGAGTATACAGGTAGTGTATTCCTAGCACTGGAGTTATCGCTTCTTCCCAGTTTGCAATAGATTTATTTTTTCCCAATTCTACTGCAACTTTCTGTGTTTTATTTTATTTGTAGAATGCCAACAGAAATAGTCCTTTAATACACACTGGGTTTTTTTTACAGTTTGATTGCAAGTCTTGGCTTGTATCCAAATACTATTTTTAGTTAAAGTTCTTATTTAGTTCAATGTATTTGCAATGTGACAAACAATGTATAAAAAAATAAGAAATGGAGAGAAACAATAGCATACTGATGGACTTCTTTATGTTTACTGATCACTGCATCCCCCCCCAAAGAGTTGGAAAAATGTAGAAAAATAAAATCAAGGGACTGGAGCAATGACTAGGAAAAATGAGAACAACATTTGGTGCTTTTTAGCTGAGCCAAATAAAAATGGTCATGGTAGAGGGTTTTTTAAAATAATAGTTACTAAATGCAATTAAAAAGATAAAAATACAAACTAAAAAAATAAAAGAATAAAAATAGTGCAGAGAATTAAAAATGCAAAAATAAAAAATTATAAATTTCTCCCTTCATCACAACAAGCATAAATTTTAGTAACTTATCACCCTCTCAAAACAAATCATCTCTTCCCATATCTTGTTTACATCCTATATCAGTCTCATCTCTTATTTATAAACAAATCCTTAAAGTCTTGTCATGCAGTCCTGATCAGCAACAGTCTATTAAGGATTACCAGAGATAATCTATCTAGTTTAACCTTGATCAAATAAATCAACCTTATATTCCTTTCTTATACATTTAACAATCTTTATCTTTAAGCCCTTCAAGTAATGTCTTAGAACTTGATTTCTTTTTATACTTTTCTTTTTTACTTTTTCTTTGTTCCTTCACCCAAAATCCTTCAAAATTTTAACAGGCCTCTTTTGTAAATTCAATATAAGGGAGTTAAGTCACTCTTTTGTTTCGTATATTCCTTTTAATTATTAAGGTATCAGCTAGTTTCATTTGTATATCCAGTGTAGCATCTCTTTCCATATCATTCTTGCAACCTGTCATTATTAAATCCACTTTTAAATCAGTCTCAGTTTTGTCTGGTAAAACTTGTTCCTCTTCTGTAGCATCCTTTAAACAGTCTGCCAATATTGGCAGAGACTCTTAAAAGTAACTTCTGAGTCTTGTTCCCACATATCTTTCAATATGTCCCATGTTGAATTATTTTGCTCCGTTCTGTAGTAATAGGTCAAATTTAAGTGTTCTTTTTTAAATGTAATATTTAATTCCTTCTAGTTTTCTCTATTGTCCAATCTTTAGAGTCCTATTATTTTATTTAAGAATTCAAAATAGCATTTTCCATGACTCACAATCATCCAGAAAAAATCTAGCTTGTTGCAGTCTCTACTTATGAAGACTAGCTTACACAGAGTGCAAGAGTGATCTTGCAGTTTTCTCCTTTTTCTGGAGAGATTTCATCAGAATCCACTGATTGGCCACTGATCTCTCCCACCCTTTCAGGAATATTTGGTTTGCCATGAATCCTCACCAGGAGCCAGAGTAGAGATTTAAAAATTACGCATGTCCTGGAAAAAGTGGGCTCTCATA